TCTCTCTCTCTCTCTCTCTCTCTCTCTCTCTCTCTCTCTCTCTTAACACCCTCACTTTCTTGTCTCATACTCTTTTTATGCATTAATTTCTTGCCCCATCTTTCTTTCTCATTACTGTCTCACCTCCCACACACCTCAGTTCTTCCCTTTGTTTCTCTCCCTTCCTCCATCCGGCTCTATTCCCCCCTGCTCTCTTCCTTCTCTCCCTATCCCTTCCTTTCCTCCTGTCCTCTCTCTCCCTCCCCCTCTCACTCCTTGCCACCCCTACCTCTCCTAAGCAGCTGGTCTCCTGAATATTTCCCCGGAGTCAGAAGCTCTTGCTCGCCTCCATCAAGTAATTAGTTTCCTCAAGGCTGGAGATACCACACGGAAAATTGGCCGCCTAAACTGGATTTTCACTGCATGCATACTGGATTTTATGAGGAAAGACGCACACATACGCATGCACACACACACACCACACACGCGCACATACACACGCGCGTACACACGCGAACACACACACATACACACACGCGCGAACACACAGACACACACACACACACACACACACACACACACACACACACACACACACACACACACACACACACACACACACACACACACACACACACACACACAGAAACTTCTTAAGTCAGCATGTCAGGGGATCCACAAGAATGAGAGGCAACAATGAACCAGCGAGACTCGACCTAGTCTTCACCCTGAACGACTCCGACATAAAGGAAATCGGTTTCGAAGCCCCTGTGGAAATGAGTGATTACAGTGTACTGATGTTTGAGTATCTGGTTGAACTGGGGTTAATGTACTCAAGGAAGGGGCCAGGAAACAAAAAGCTGGCATTCCGAAAGGGAAACTTTGAGGAGATAAGAAAATTCGTAAAATATTTAACTTTGGAAACAGTGCTCAGAGGAGAGACGGCCCAAGACATGATGGACTACACCACATAGCAGTGAAAGGAGGCAGCAGACAACTTCATCCCATTCCATAAGAACAAAATGAAATGCAGATGAGAAACCTATGGTTTAATCAGTGATTTAAGCCAGCAAAGCAACTAAGTACAAGGGCGTGGAGAAACTATAGAAATAACAGGACACTAGGGAACAGAAAAAATACCAGAGCGCTAGGAATGAATTCATCAGGGTGAGAAGTAAGGCAGAAAGACAATATGAAAATGACATAGCAAGCAATGCAAAGACTCAACCTAAATTGCTACACAGCCACATCAGGAGAAAAACAACAGTGAAGGAACAGATAATGAAACTGAGGATAGGGGTAGACAAATTCACTTCAAAAGACAAGGAAGTGTGCAAGGAACTTAATAAGAAATTCCAGGAGGTCTTCACAATAGAGCAAGGGGAAGTCTCGGAGATAAGAGAGGGAATATCTGACCA